TATTTACCTACATCAGCTTTTCGGAAGAATGCCGTACCTGGTAAGTAATTGCACTTTTAAAACCCTTGTTAGCCTGCCTATTGAGTATCTAGTAGATTAGATAGTGACGAACTAGTCAGCTGATTTCCGTTTTCATTCTCAGTACACGTGGAAAGAGATAGCAATTGTTTTCATTGACTAAGCGACGGATCGCGCGTAATTTGTGAACCACATTATGCAGAATGTAGTCAATGTTTACTTAATTACTTTATGTAATTAACTGGTCCGGGGTACGAAATTTCTTCACTATTGTAATCTGTAAACATAACACTACCTCCCATTAAAGCCGTGGCATAAAATTATAGAGCACCTTATATTTTATTTCTTAACCTGTTGAAAATCATCCCCTAAATTTGTCGATACAAAAGTAGTCTCTAAACATTGGAAATAAGTTCTATAATGTAGATAGTCAGAGCGGTCACTGGTGACCGCTTGGGGATAATATGGGTTAACTGAATTTATTTTATAATTAAACTAGTAAAACGGATAAAATTTTCGATTTTTTTCAGAGCAAGCACAATTGAAGATTCTATGTCTGTTCATTCACTACCTAGCCAGGCGCATACTCCTACTAACCCACTTAAATGTTCGATGTGTGATAGAGAGTTCAAATACAAGAAATCTCTAACGTCTCATGAAGCACGATGTCATTCTGAGGTACCAGTGGAGGTGAAGATAGAAGTACCTGAAAAGGCATCCACCAGCCTCTTGAGTGAGACAGTGTACCGTCAGACTGAGTCAGAATCTAGTCAAGAAGAGGACGACAATACATGTGACATCTGCGAGAAACAGTTCTCGTATCGACGACTCCTGCTACATCACAAAAGAACGAAACACAACATGAGCTCGGGTCATAAGCGTGCCAAAATCTTCCTCAAGGACTGCTCCGTGCGATGTCTTATTTGCGACCTCGACATGAAGGTCGGCGATATCAACGCGCATAATCGAACCCACATATCAAAGAACATGAAGCCTCGTAATTTATACACGTGCGCTGAATGCGAGGACACTTTCAAGAGCTGTTCAGCTCTAGCAAATCATATAAAACTAATTCACAGACTAAAACAGCAGCCTATAGAGAAAGAGTCAGTAAATCCTTCGGATTTTTGTGAAGTCGTTGTGGCAAAAGCGGAACCCCTGGACTGGATCCAGAGTCACAACGACTTTGGTGAGGTTCCGGGCGCAGAGAACAAGCCGCTGGTTGACCTTAGCGGCTTTACGTGTCCCATATGTGCCAAGAAGATGCCCACACTGATATCTTTGAAAAGGCATGTCAACTGGCACTCGAGTGTCGGCAACAATATTCAGAAAAAGTACGAGTGCGCTGTTTGTAACGAGGTAAGACGGTGTTTTGTAGTTTATTTTGGGCGAAATGTGTTATAAATTTTATCGTAAACAAATATTCTCATTGACAATATTTTTGTTGCAGTCATTCAGGTTCCAGTGCCACTACAAGATCCACATGCGCGAGCACTACCACGATACAAACCTGGACCCGAAGCACCTGACTTGCAATATTTGCGGGCGACGCAGCAAACACCTGCGGGCCGCGCAGGCGCACATGACTTACCACAAGCAGATGCGCTTCCAGAACAAGGACTATCAGTGCTCCATCTGCGAGCGAGTCTTCCAGTACAGGAAAGTATACCTCTCTCACATGGCCATACATTATAAGAAAGGCGACAGCGCCCAGAACACCATAGTAGGCGACGCCTTACCTAGCACCGTTGACAAAAACGTGTTCGACGGTTCCCACACCTGCCACCACTGCGGCAAAGTGTGCGACTCGGAAGTCTCACTGAAACATCACTTGATCTGGCACACTTCCAAAACGTTCCTGTATGGCGCTCGACACGAGTGCAGCATCTGCAAGGTGAAGTTTACAAACAAAAGAAGGTTAGACCTACACATCCGAGGTCACTACGAAGATGATAATGGTCCTTTCAAATGTACTATCTGCGGAAAAGGCTACACGCATGAAGGCTACTTCCAAAAACACGTGAAAGGGCATAACTTTGATCACCAGTCGCACAAAAAACGAATAGAAAAAATCCGAAAGGACAAAGTGAAATGTCCAATATGTACGCGGTATTACCCGGACTTGGTAAAACTTATCCGCCACTTGAGGCGGACGCACCCTGAGAGTAAAATGATCAAACCCGACCCCGACGCTCCGTCACCACTTTACTACTCTTGCAAATTGTGCGCCAAAGTATTCTTAGATGAGCGACGATTACAATCTCACGAGGAAGCTCACCTGAGAAAGCCCGAATTCTTTAAATGTAAGTTCTGTGGTAAGAAAACTATATCGCTTAGAAATCACCATCTCCACATAAAGAGCCACTTGGCCCAGAAGCATTTAGATAACCCGCTCAAGTGTCCGCACTGTGACGAGACGTTCGTGAAGGGCTACGGGCTCCATCACCACTTGCGCGACGTGCACAACATCATAGAGAATTGGATCGCAGACCGCACTGAACAACCGCTGACAGGGCCGCTCAAAGACCTCCAGTGCTCCATATGTATGAAAGTGCTTGCTAGTAAAGGAAATTACGAGCGGCACATTGACTACCATAACTCGTTAAGATGTAACTACTGCTTTGATTACTTCAGCTCTCTCCGATTCTTGGAGGGACATCTCACGTTCTCGTGCGAAAAGAAAAAGCTTTTAGGTGATACTGAGGTTTACCCAAAGAAAGTAAAATGCCACATCTGTTACAAAGCATTCCATGTACAAGTGAAGTTAGACTGTCACTTGCGCACGCAGCATGGCATTGTAGTAAAGAGGGAAATGTCTGAAGGCAAGCAAGAAATCGTGTGTGATTATTGCTTTAGAGTTTTCGAAAATGAGTACGCTCTAGGCACCCACAAGATATACCATCGAACTGTTGGATACTACGGTTGTATATACTGCCCGAGGAAGTTTAGCACGATGGTGATGTATCGGAAACATAAGAATCACCATCTCTATCAGCTTAATGTGGACAATCCAACGAAATGTGAACACTGCGATGAGACATTCGTAGCTTTCAAAGAAATGATAAACCACATGAAAGACGTACACGGTGACGATAAGGACTGGGTGATAGAACCCAAGGAGTCTATCGAAGAAACGTGTCACATCTGCAACAAGAGATTCTATAATCTGCACAAACATTTGGCTTACCATGAAGAAAATAGGTGCAAGAAATGCAATGAATATTTCTACTCAAGAGGAGATTTCGATAATCATCTATGTGCCATTGAAAGTGATGACGAAGGCACTGGATACATAGGCAACAAAGACACATTCCAGTATGAAGAATGCAAATTCTGCTTTAAACCTATAACCAAGAAAAGTACTAAACGATTACACAACCAGATACACAAGGGGTCAGGCTCGATATCTTGTAGGTTCTGTCCACTGAAGTTCAAAACCATGGACGCTTTCAATATACATGCTTTCTCTCATCGAAGTAGAAAATATAATAAGAAACCTATTAAATGTCGAAAATGTGGTGAGAAGTTTGTTAAATATGGGCCGTTCATGAAACACATGAAACTAGTTCATAAGACTATGAAGAAGCTTCACTACAGAACGGTAGTGAAGCCAGAGAAATGTGTCGTTTGTGGGGAAGATTTTCCGAACTTGCACAATCATTACCGCGCGCACTTGCTGAATCAGTGCCAAGGGTGTCTCAAATACTTTACGTCGTACAAGGTTATATCTGCACACGAATGTAACAAAGAGGACATAGACCCGTCGAAGGTGTTCACGTGTGACGCTAACTTGACTCAGCTGATAAATACATACGTTCCTAAGGACGAGAAAGATGATGAGAAGTATTACGGACATACTGACGACGAAGAGGATGAAGTTAATCTACAGTTACTCGGAGAGGAAGAAGAAAGCCAGGAAAGTAAAAACATCCCAATGATCCAGTCGCCTATAATATCAGATGTCCTATCGCTTTACAACAAGGAGGCAGAGACAATGGACAGCATCGACAGTGCGGACGATACTAATGCTAATGTGGTGAACCTATCGGATGATGACGGAGTAAGTGTTGATGACACTCTTATTCCAGTCATTGTTGTTTTAGATGAGGACTAGATGGAACCGGTAACCGAATGTGTCTAGTACTTTCAATGACAGGGGTTTGTATGCTACACAAGATGTAATTTGAACGAGTTGCAAGATAAGGGCAACTGAAAATTACAGAAGCTGATCTTCCACAGACCTTTACTACCCCATCGAGGATTGAAGTCACAATCCATTGTAATAGGTAATATTAATTATTATAGTATTATTGTTGATGTGAAACCAAGAATCTGCAACAATAATAGTATTAGCAAATATTCGCTGTATTTAATTCATGTGCGAGTTGCAACCACAGGCATTTATCGAATACTTAAATAGCATAAATTTATATTTAGACTGAAATAAATGGTGAGTGAGTGGTGCGTAGAATTAACGATATGTATTATAAAACTGTTTAATTTTTTTGCGCTGCCAGGAATCTGCCGTTTGTGCATCTACATAGACTTCGTTAATGTCACAATCTGTGTGCGTGGGTGCCATTGCGATAATTTGCTCGTCTGCTTTCCCGTGTTTGCAATCTAAAATTGCTTATACTGCGAAAATGTCAGGTCTATGACATATTGAGCGGCTGTGGTAAAAGTTATGTTAGTTCGTATGAGTGATGGTCAATTGTGATTTTAGTTTGATATGAAAATTAAGCAGGATGTATGATTTCTATTAGATTTTGTATTAAGTCACAAATGTTCTTCCTAACAATAGCTATTGTACCACCTGGTACATTGTAGGCAGGTTACACACATGAATTGTGTAACTTGTTTTTTTTTTCTTTACGAATTTTTTTTCTAAATAGATATTAAAAACGGCGCTATTTTTGGCTTTGTGGTTAAGAGTGACCAAAGAAAAGATTATAGAAGTACAGATTGCAAGGTAAAAAATATTGTAAAGTGAGTGATGAGCTACAAGACAAGTAGCGTCTGTTTTACAGGTTACGCGGTATTTTGTTTCTTTAGTTGGTTATCCAACATTTGTAGTATGCAGAGGCCAGTATATCAACCTACCTGTACCTGTACCTACAGTCAAATTTATTTATTGAATTTCCGACTTTATCTCAATACAATAAAGTTGAAGATGTAATCGAGAAATTTGACAGAAAAGCACAGGTTGCCCTGCTGGCCACCATATACAGTAATGAACAGATCAAGACTTGAACTTCTACCAGATAATTTGACAAGTAGTATTCTCTCTGTAGTCAAACTTATCAAGAACTTGTATAAATATATTCATGTGATTGTTGACGATCTGTTAAGTAATCGAGGTGAAGAGTCAGTAAATATAAATTGGTTTTGAATCAACAATTAACTGTTGACTTTATATTTTATTTTTGTGAAATTCGTTGTGAATATTACTTGTATGTAGGTTTGTGTGCACTCCAAGGTCGGTTTAAATTTAACGAAATAACGTAACGGTCCGACTACTGAATTTTGTACTGAAAAAAGTTGTCTTAGCTCAGTATCCCAGCAATAAAGCTCTTTCGTCACATGTGATATGTAACTTCTAAACTTGAATACGACCTTGGAGTGATAAGGAATAGCTTCGTAGTTGTGGTCGTGAGTTCTACCTTCTAGAATAAGGTCCAAGTGGGGACAAAAGTATTATCTAAATTTTTCACACTTTATCTAGTATTTGAAATTCTCAGTGGAGCAAAATTATATCTCTAGTTTTTGAGAATGTTAATCTAATAGGCATTACTCTAATCATGAATTTGGTTAAAATATAAATGTATACAGTAAAATCCAGCACGATTTATTGTACATTTTCTGTATTTGAGAGTGACTGGTATATTTTTCATGGTGGGAAATAAATTCGGAAAAATTTGGGCATTAAAATTCTATTTATCACTAGAATTGGTATTTTGTGTAGTGGTAAAGAATGTTGCAGTATTCCAACTTTTAATTCCATTCAGTAAAATACAGTTTCAATGTGGACTAATCAATGACTCTACGAAATATTAATTGTGATGTAACGATGCATCGTTATGAAAGTACGTAAATATAATAAAATCGATTCGAATCGTCCTTTATTGTAAAACGAACTTTTATCGCTGGCGCTATTATTGAGAGATCGAACCTACGCATTTTTGTTTTTTTGTTGTGTAATGTGCAAGAAGAAAGAAAAATGCGTAGGTATTGTCAAATATCATAGGTATTTAATTTCTCAATACCTAGGACATTTGTCAATTACAAATCATTAATTTACGTTTATTTTGATTAGTCGAAAACCATCACTGTTAGTTGGAGTATGGTGTCATTATTTTACAAATTGACTATAGCTGTAGTCAGTTTACTGAATGGCATTAAAATCTAGGCATATTGTATTAAAATTATTACTTTATAATTAAGTGCCATCTAACGTTTTATTTTCTTTAAAACAATATGACCAATATTATTTGTGATTTCGTACAATTTTGTACAGTAACCTACTGAGCACACTAGAATAGATTTCCATGAGTCTCATTACTTAATATTCGGATCTATTATACTTCTTTAAACAATGTACTTTATACTCCATTTTAAATAACATTGATGAACCCTTTATTAACAGTTAAGCCAAGCAATTTTGAATTCTATTGCATCCATGAAATTGTATCGCATGTATATTTTAGCTTGGCTTATGGAATAGGATTCAAAATCATTTGTCTAAGTTGTAAATAGGGTATATTGTTGCCTAAGTTATTTTTTAATAATGTGTACATATGTTAAGTATGTATGTAAAGGTATGTTAGTACCAGGATAGTGTAACTTATTAGATACAAAAAGAGTGCTCTGGGGATCACGACAGACTAAAGTTCAGTGATTTTATAACTTGCCCATTACATATAGCAGCTAGGAGTTTAGCTCTAGTAGAATATTAGCAGAGATAGGAGAAATGCAATAATGTTTACTAAAATATTGTTTTGTTAAATAACTTTTTATTGAAATACAATGCTAGTAAGAGATAGTGTATTTTTCAGTTTTCAATTAGCCAAAGTTGTGGATGTATTGTATACATTAGATTGTAACTCATAGATATAAGAGTATAGCTAAGTTCAGTCAGCATCTATGATCAGTTAATTATAAGATTAATATGTTTATTCCAACAGTATGTTATAAAGAGGTTACTTTTATTTCTGGTTATTTTTTTTTTACTTTTTTTTATTGTGAGTAAATTCTCCATTATTTTTCTGTGTCAAACGTGGATTGTTTATGATGGACGAAATAAAATGATCATTTGAAATTTTAATAATGTTTATTTAGTCAACATACTCATATATGAACAGCTGATTAACAAAGCTAACTGATATTAGTTAGTAGAACGTTAATTAGTGATTAGTTCTGTGGTACATGCTTTACAAGGTAATAATTTATTTAGAATCAAATAGGCTACGTCTGGTAGCTATATACATTACACTCTACTTTCACAGTCCTCAGTTAGCTGGACCGTTTGATACTTCCCGATTACCTCAGCTAACCAGCCATCCACAAGTTTCCAGTGTTACAGGTACATTACAATTATCGTAAACGTTTGATAGTTATAAAAATATCTATCGTTATTTATTAAGATACATAGTCATACCCCTTACGCTAGTTTTAACTCCATTCAACACAATTTCTAGTACAGTTTTTGATTCGGGAGCAATATTCAGAGTTACCTTGACTTACTTGAGTTCTTCATGATTATGTTGATACGATCGATATATGATGAGTACATATTACTTCGGGTAAATGTAGATAAAATATAATGAGACTGAAAAACAACAAACTTTCCTTTCTTCTTGCTAAAAACTGAACTGAATGAATCACTTTAATAAGTCACCTGGATCTATCTAACTTATAATCTAAATAATTATCTAGTCATAAAAAATTAAAAGTAACAAGTACGACTTGCAAGAAAATAAACTTTACTCTTTTTTATACACCATATTAAAAATAATTATTTCACTTAATAAACTTATCCAATAAAATAAACACAAAGTGACATAGGTGGATTGTTTTTAGAATTTATATTGCTTGTTAGTATCAAATTATAATGCGACTAAAAAAACTGACTCGTGCGAAAATATACCTAATATTGATACAATTAAAATCGACAATTCAATGTGAGCAGTTCAAAGCATTCAGTGGAACTATGGATTCTAATATCAGACGCATGAATGTAACGTCATATTAATTTCTATTATCTAACTACAATGAAGTATGTGCTTCGATATTATTGCATGTCGCCAAAACAAAGCATTTTGAACTTTACTGTGAAGTTATAATTGCTATTTTGCAACTAGTAATCCATCTCAAATAAAACAGCAGCACACACTTCAAAATTTGTTAATTTAGAATCACGGTTGATTTGCTTTCAGTCATAATCAGCACTTTAGTCTATCAGAATTTACCTACTACAATTATATACACATTTTACATCAATAGTATATATAAAATATATAAGTGATCTCGTCGAAAGAGTACGTCAGCCTTTGATTGTAATATTGTTAATGTAATAAGGCGATATATGCTTCATATACTTTGTTGATACGTGTTAGTATTTTAAATAGAACATTTAAAGCAATATACAAACGTATTCTTTCTACGGCTTCACAAACGTAACATTTAAAATATTCATCAATAAAAATATTAATAACTTGTATTATTTATTACAAAAAGTAAATAATTACTTAAAATAGAAAATATTCACATGACACTAATAATAAAGAAAGACACTGTAAGGCTTTCTTAATTCGAGGAAGGGTATTGACTGAGCATAATTTACCCATCATCTAATACGCGTTACGAGAAATATAGCTGAAGTATTAACTTTGAACTCAACCACAGCTTTGGAAGCATGCTTTCTTTAACATAATATCAACTGCCTCGAATTAAGAAACATTACCTCCAATGCACTAGAACACCTATACATAAATGCTTGACTCGATACAAAGAGAAAAATATTGCTGAGCACAATTATTCCAATATCACATTTGAACTGAAGTAAATTCATACAACTAGGGCCGAGTAGAACCGACAAGGTACGTTTAAATCCATTATCAGTAATAACTCGGTCGTCTAGCTACTCTGGCACACATTTTTATTAGAAAGAAAGATTTAAAAATTACTAATTAACATCGAAATTTTATTTTAAGAAGATAATAACAATATAAAGAAAAAAAACGCTTAATTTTAACTGATATTATGACGCTTAAAACACTTTCAACCATCATGTATTGCTCAATAGTTACAACTAACATTCCTGTCATTCTTTTAAAAATAATACTTGGTATAACTATACATAATAAATACACTTACAACTGATTTAAGTATGCAAAGTTATCATTTTAATACAGATTGTAACAATACTATTTCTTCAATGGGATTGTTATATCTTAGTAATTCTTTTGTTGCAATAAAAAAGGTGAAGTAGTTATACAAGTTAATATTTAAAAACAAACCTTATTCATATTGTTGTTAGCTGAATACTTATAATATTGTAATTTACCGTCGTCCTCATACTCATGTAATAGTTACTTAACCCAGTCCTTAGCAATTGGTTTCGGAAAAAACTCGTTACTAAGGAATAGTTTAAGTAGTCATTAGATGTCTATGGGTACTGCAGTTAGTGTCTAATATAATAGTGCGAAATCTTTGCAAATGAAATCAAATATAAACATATTCCTTGACTAGGATAAAACTATAACGCACATAATGATAACATTTTGAAATGACCTGTCCGTGGAACTACTTACTAAGAAGTTGGTATGTACAATCAACGATAAAAGTGGACTATTTTAGCAAGTTTGTATTGGTTGATTCCACATAATTATTTTAAGGCATTTATAAAGAATAGAATACTTTAAAGACTAGCGTGAAAAGAAATCGACACTGCAGCTTTCATCGTTGATTGCACATATTTTTAAACGTAACTTTGACATGCCTGCACTTTCGCGGCTTTCCGATTCAAGGCTCCACTAGTGGACCATTCTCATATCGATCATATTTGCCATACACATTTTATACAAATCAATAGGCACGTGGTTTATTGGAGGGATTTGTAAGACAATTTTAATCTACAAGTAATTAAAGGACGAAATATGGAAAGGAATAGCACAACAATTACTATTGCAACTTCGTTAATATTCATTTAAAAGAAAGATACTTAAAAATAATAAATGTGACGTTGCTTAGTGAGAAGATATTTAAAAAAAAGTAATATTTAGGCGCGTTTTTATCAATCTCTTGATAAAATGAAATCAGTTTCACAAAATAGTAAAAATAAATGGTTTCTCTTTCTGTCTCAATACCTATGTATAAACGTAATTTGTGTTTGTATTGTAACTTTCGTGAGACATACTAAATAAATTATTATGTTTCCGGCTTACTCACGTAATAATTTGACGAGGAACTCGATTAGTTTCAAGCCATGCTAGAGGCTCATATACATGAGCAGCATTTCGCGACCCGCGACGCGGCGACTGTCACGCTGCTATTGTTCTCTAACATGGCTTGAAACTAGTCGAGTTCCTCGTCAAAGTATTACGCGAGTAAGCCGAAAATATAATAATTTACGTAATTTGTGTATTTGAAATGTTAAATATTTATCCAAAACTCGACAAATTTCCTTTGGCAGTTAATTTTGGGCTTGATTGTGTTTTAAACTTGGCCGAAGTGAACTTAATGCCATGCCAATCGAAATGGCATTGTAGACGACATTTGTAGACAAATAATCGGTCGTAATAAAGACTCCTTTGATATCATCAAGTATATTAGAAAAATTAATAATATCTCTTGAGTTTCATTTTCAACACATTGGATGCCATGCCGGACAAGAATGACCGAAGCCAGCGAAGAACTAGTCTTTAATAGTTTTTGTTTGCAAAAGAATTGAACATAATTTCTACCATCTGGGTAAAAGTCGTAAGACACTGTAATGTTTGAAATATAGAGAGATACCTAGTTTCTGTCGTCTCAGAAAAAGTCATAAGACATGACAATCGACATGCTTCTAGAAATGTATAGAGATACCTAGGGCGTGGTTCAGTCGTCCCACTCTCCGTCGCTGGTGGTTGCGTCGGACATGTCGGAGTCGGAGGAGTGTATGGCGCGCGAGCGTTCCTCGAGCGCGCGCTGCAGGGCCTCGGCCAGGCCGCACGCCGGCCGCGCGCCGCGCCGCTCGCTGCCACTGTTACTGCCCGAACGAGACACCTGCAGACACACGTAACAATTAACAAAACCTTCCACAGTACATGTAACTAAACCATTTACACATAACACGCCACACACGAAAAAATACGTGTCTAATCTTTTTTCATTATCTAACAGATGGACTAATTAGATTTTTAATTTTCATACCCTGGAAACTACCCTATTGCTGGCATATGCTAGTGACTCCATATATTTTATAAACATTTGAAGTAAGACTTACGGATTTAAGTTCCACGCCCTGCCGGATCTCGCTGAGCAGATTGCTTCTGCTATCGTCCACAACGACCGGCTTAGCCACGGGCTCGACGCGCTGCAATAGGTTTTAGATAGTAAATTAAACATTGTATGCAGTGGCGGCTGGTGGGTTATCGAACTGGTGGTGCAGTTTACTAAAATATTAAAGTTAGAAAATGCAACAAAACAAAAATTGACATGATATATGTTTATTTCTTATTGTTTTAAATTTAAAAAGGGCCGTGGCGGTCCGGCCCATTTTATGTTCACTTTATTTTGAAAAGTTCTGTTATTTTCTTTAATATAATCAATGTTTATGCTCAATTTCACTAATACACAGTATAGAATAAAAGTTCTCGAAAAAAATCGAAACGAAAACTAAAAACAATTATTTACGGTAATATAAATAAACAATTATTAGCGTGTCACACATACAGTGAAACTATACTGATAGTCTAATAACGAGATGTCAATCATCCAATGGCTGCCGTCACCTCGCGCGCGCCCATGCCGGCCAATTCGTCAAAAATCGGGTGCTCTCGGCAATCCTCGGTTCGCATCGCACGTGCGGCGCTCGACAACCGACTCATTACTCGGTACGTTTCTATGAACTATCTTTTGTTTCACGCGTCAGGCGTATTAACTCGTATCACCTACAAGTTGTATTAGCAG